ATATATATATATATATATCAATTTTTTTTTATTATTTTTTTTCGTATTTTCTCTCATCTACTCAGATCCACTCCAGATCAACCATCTGGATGAAGAGTTTAAAAAAATAGGAATTGCCCAGGCATTCTACCCTGAAAAAAACTGATAAAATTTCAATTTTATTATAGGAATGTATACCCAAGATAAACATCTGTCTAACCTAACGATGCCTCTGTGAGATATCTATATCATAAACTGGTCCAGTATCACCCAAAAAACGCACACATCTTTGGGGTTCTTTTGAGTCTGTTAATTTATTTTTGTATGTTAGTTGTCTCTTATTTTTACTTTAAGATTTTTGTGCTTTTGTGTCACCTTATGCCTGTCAGTTTTTGCATTTTGGGTCTTGCCACATTCTATTATTTTTAGGCATTGAGAGTTTTCTATATGAGTTTGGTTTGTTTGTCATTGGCCAGTTTAAAGTGTTTTTTAAATGGGTCTTTACTTTGTCTATCAGAATTCCTGTTTTATTTGATACATTATCTTAGCATATTCTTTCCAGTGTTTATCACTGGTTTGCCATTGCTTTCTCAGCCAGAGCCTTCTGTAAATTAGTTAATTCTCTGTACCTGTGTTCCCATTTGTTCTCCAGTTTGTACCTGTTCTACCCTCTACTTAAGGTCTCAGCCATTTGTCGGTATTCATCAGGTCCTCAGTTCGTTTGCATGTTTCTTGTGTGTTTCTGTTTCATTTGCCTCATGTTGCATCATATTCTCTATACACTTATCATGCTGCTTCCAACAAACAATGAGAAATAGAGTATATATTTCCTGGCATGTTAAATCTCTGACATTTAGATGCTGATGGAAAGACACAACCTCCATCAAAAGTTAATATAACTGGATAATAATAATTATTAATTCTTATTGGTTAATATTGTTCCCTCTTTGATAAACAAGGATTTATCAAATATTTTCTAACAATCCACACTAAAAAATAAATGAAAATATACAGGATTTGTGCCGAGATGGTATCGGGTCAATATCAGTATTGGCCAATACTCAGAGCTGTGATAATTGTAGAGTATCAGAAAAAAAAAAAGAAATTAGTACATCTCTAGGCTAACTGAGATGTAAAAGGTCAAGATAGTCGAAAGATTGGGGTCACATTTCTAGAAAAGATGTTCTGCCTTAATGGTTTTGACTTTTACCCTCTGATTTTTGTTACAGTCATTAAAACACCTTTAGTTAGACATGATCTACTAAGCAAAAAGCATACCAGAAGGTTGGACACTAAGGTCTAAAGGAGAACTAAATTCGATGGCGTCACATTTATTTCCATATGCTTGTGAGCAAAATAAACATATTCGCATGTTTGTTAAACTACTTCTGTTCATGCTTTTTCTAGCACCGCACAACAAAATCGGCAAACTTCCGTTTTGAGAGGAGAAAATCCCTCTCTGCGCGCGCCAGCTCCTCCCACTCGGGATCGTGCTCGGGATCTCATCGCTTGCATGATTTTCTATCCAGCAGCCACGCTCGAGGATGGCTGCACTCTTGAAAGCATATCTGCCCTCGGACTGATTTTCTCCTTGCGCAAAGGAAAATGAGTTTTGACATGCTGGGCGGAGACAAACCTCTTCTATAAGCCTCCTCCTGATTGGGCCTTGCAGACACAATAAAATGGGGGGTAGTGTCAGGAAGCCTTTGACTGAGACTTATCACTTATCCCATGTACCGCAAACATTGAAGAAGCCTCCACCACTGTCCAGCCATTGTCTTTACTTATGGACGCTGTCAGTCAAAGGCCTCCTGACACTACTTCTAGTGTGACCGTGTCTGTAAGGCCCAATCAGGAGGAGGCTTACAGAAGAGGCTCGTCTCAGCCCAACTTGTCAAAACACATTTTCATTCGTCAGAGGAGAAAATCAGTCAGAGGGCAGAGACTAGGAATGGGAATTGAAAACCGGTTCCTGTTCAGAGCCGGTTCCGTGTGTTCCAATTCCATGGCACCATTTGGCAGCTCGCTCAACGGTTCTCTTAACAGTTCCAGGCAGCACCAGAGCCTAGCATTGGACAGCACGACTTTCGTCACGTTTTTACGCAAGTTATGCACACGGCATTCAGTAAGCAAGTATGACGTGACCAGGTATGTGACCAAGTCTAGAAAAGCAAAACAAAAAAAATGGTGCCCCATTGGGTAAAGCAATCGAAAATTGGATGTAAAGTGGCAATTACATCCGTGGGAGGAAATACATCCAACATGCAGAAACACCTGCGCACACAAAATGGCATACATTTTAACGAATGTCGTGTTTTTAATGCTTCTGGACAGAAGCTAAAGTTACGACCAGCATGGAAGGCAACTCTGATGGTAAGTAGCTAGTTTTATATCACTGGCTGTGCTTAATGTGGTTCCTAGTAAATCATATGCCATTTCTGGAAATAAACCCGTTTCCTACCTCTCTTTGGGGTTATTAAACATGCTACGAAGTTGCTCCGCAGTTCAGGGAGCGAGAGAAAGGTGACGCTCGTTTATTTAAATCAGGGGGAGATGAGTTTATTTCCCGAAATTGTACAGTAATGCTTTTTCATTAAACGGATGCCTTCTCCATTAAATTTAGATGACTGTGACGAGACGGGTAGCCTGGCTGGCTCAGATGCTGGCAGCTCTCTTTCACTGCCTTCTGTTTTCGCCGAGGCAGGCAGAAATTGAATGTTCCAGGCGTAGGTAGACGGATGTCACCTTGCACTTACCGAGTTCATTGTTTCACAGAATCGATAAGAGAATCGATAGGGAATAGAATTGTTTCACAGAATTGATAAGAGAATCGATAGGAAATAGAATCGTTTCACAGAATTGATAAGAGAATCGATAGGGAAAAGAATCGTTTCACAGAATCGATAAGAGGATCGATAGGGAATAGAATCATTTCACCGAATTGATAAGAGAATCGATAGGGAATAGAATCATTTCACAGAATCGATGAGGGAATCGGAATCATAAAAATCGTATCAATTCCCAACCCTAACAGCGATGCTTTTGAGAGCGCAGCAGTCCTTGAGCGAAGCAGCTGGTGAGATCCCGAGTGGGTGTGGGAGGAGCTGGAACGAGTGGAAAGGGATTTTCTCCTCTTGAAGCAGCATTTTTGTGCAAGTGTGATTTTGTTTTGAGAAGTTAGATGTGCAGAAGTAGTTTAACATACATGCCAGTATGTTTAATTTGCTCGCAGATATTTTGAAATAAATGTGACGCCATAAAATTCCATCAGTAGTAACTCAGCCTAACAGTATTTCTGGGAAGGGGGGGGTCCTCATTGAATTTTCTAAAAGAGGTTTGGGAATCTTGAACTTTTTTTGTTTTTTTATAAACCAACTGAATTAGAGACTGAAAAAATATATGTCTTCTCTCCAGTCTTACCAGAATATGACACCATAGGATATCATTTTAATTTACCACAGATCTGTGGTATTGGTAGCAGTAAAGCAGCACCAACATAGAACATCACTCTGCTGCAACATTAAAGGCACCCAACTGGAACATTGTGTATTTTTCTTTAACAGCACCAGCTGGAAGCGAAACGAATATGTGGCTCATAAAACAATATGCACTATAAAAGCTGGAGACGCCAACATGTTCTGGCATCATGCTCCCACGGTCTACATCCCGCGTTTTAAAGGTGGCCTATAGAAGCGATTGCATTTTTTATCTGCAGATATGAAGCAGACAGCCTGCCTCCAGGGCTGAATAATTGATCTCTCTGTACCGGTCAGGAGGACGATGGTGGGACGCCTCTCTCTGCATGTGATTCAGTCCCATCGCGGTGCAAACCACCACCCCCTCCACTCCACTTCCTCCTCCCTATTTTCCCCTCTCTCTCTTCCTACGTGTGTTTTTGTGAGTGTATGTGGAGACGAATCGGAGAGCAGGAGGAAGAACCAAGGACGTCCTGTTTTTTTTTTTCTTTTCGATCCCTTGGAGCCGGAGATACGAGGAGCTGTCATTAGCCCGCGCCGCTGCCGCCTGCTGCAGGAGAACTTCGCCGGTGTCTCAGCCTGATCCCAGCTCTCTGATCCCCCGCTCGTTGTGTCTGAGGACTGGAACCAGTTGCAGGACCGGAGGTAAATCGATGCTTGATGCGGCTCTGCTTCAGCGCAGCAAGGCGTTTCTGTGCGTGTGGAGCTATCCGGCTGCGCTGGTGCTGAAACCACTCTACTGTTATACAAGGAAGTGCATGTGTTTTTCTTTTACACAAATCTGTGCGTCTTGCAGTAAGCATGCAGAAATGGCCATCCCGAGTGCAAATATTGCACATGGAGTTGGATAAATGCATGCATCAGATTTTTCATTTCTGTTATTTTTTATTATTTTTTTTTAGCATATTTAACGTGCTTTAGAAGCAGCTTTCCTTCCCGGAGTGGGATGGCTGTGTCCAGGGTCCCTCCAATGAAAGATGGAAAGTTTTACCACATGATCTTGATAAATATACAGGAGTGGTTTAGCCCACATGCGTGATAAGGGACTGTCCTGTGAAGCTGAGAGGTCTCATTACAACTCGTCTGATATTATCTGAGGCGCGCTCAGGTCAAAAGTCTAAACTAAAAATCACCCTTTTGGAAAATATGTATTTTTTAAACCAAATTTTAATCAAATAATGAGAAGTTACAGTTGAATGCAGTTTAATGATGATTAAATTATTGACCTTTGTGTCCTTCATTTGGCGCAAAGACAGAACGCGGTTCAGAGCGCAGTTATATAGCGTTTATACATCAGTATAGCTCCACTTAGTTCATGCCTGATGCACTAACCATATAGACAGCTATTTGTCAGGTATTTAGAAATGAATCAAAACAAAGTTTCTTAAAAATGTTAATAAATGTGACCCTTTTTATGGTTCCAGATCTGCAGACACGGGATTCTACTTCTCTGCAACTATTGAATGTAACATCGATTGGATAAAGGACGGCAAGGAACCCTAAGCCATCATCATGAATTTCGTTATGAAGCAAGCGTTGGGGGGTGAGTCCCAAACCTTTAATCTCTGCGTTGTATTTTTTATTGCTGTTGGATATTCCCTCTTTTTTTTTCTTCACGCACAAGACGCAGTTGGCCCCAGGGGCCCCTGAGTTCTGCTTTGCATTATAATGAGTTGAACCGCCGTGGCCAATCCCGTTCGGTGCAAACCGAGATGCGCAACAGCAGCAGGCCTCCACAGCTCTTTTACCTTCCGACGTTGATGCGTCTCAACTGGACGCCGCAGTGACTCTCGTCTCTCCTTACTGAGAGAACATCTCCCCTCTGAAAGAAGAGAAGGAGGTTCTGGTGGGGGCGTTAATCGAGAGAGAATCTAATCTTCAATAATTTCATTCCAGCATTCAGACACGTGAATGAGTTCCTAATTGCTTGATCCGCAGCCAGTCCCCGGACGCGAGATTATCATAACAGATTAATGGATTTTTGAGAGAATATGAGCTGTTTGTCCTGCGTGAATATGCGGGTGATGCAGTGGGAAGGGACACGACCTTAAGTGGTTCTCACAAAGGAACAAGAGTCCTTGCAGGGAATCAGTACATTTATCAGTAAAGCAGTTCCTGTATGCTGTTTACTGTGACTTTATAGGCAGGAAGACCTTTAAAAAAAAAACTGTATTTATTGCATGAGCACACATAATAAGCCTACAGTACTGTTATGTGTATTTTTTTATTTTTATAATGAATGTTATTTTAGAGTGTGATGTCTCAAAATGCATTGTGAAAGACCAACACATAATTGTGCATGATTGTCAAATAGATGGAATAGAAAATAGAATAAAAAATGATTTGTGGTTTATTTATTTATTACAGATAAGCTCCATTTAGTTCATATATTGCAGTTCAATCTGAAAAACTCACACGAAGAAAAAAGACAATTAGAGGAAATTTATTGATACAATTACTTTGTCTTTGGCTCTCAGACCTCGACAGGAAACCTAGTGCTGAATTTTGATAGATATGCATGAACAGGAGGAAAGAATAGGGCTGTTTCCTCTGTCTGTAGACTGCTGGTTAGTGAGACGGTCTGCTGAGCTTTATGGGGAGATCCAGTGGATTGTGTGAGCTGCTTCTAGAGCTTCACTCAGGGACCTGGAAGATGGAAGTCTAGCTTGAATGACACAGGTTGCATGAACCTGTCCATAATGAGCAAGCATGAGATGACAGTGGAGAGGAAAAACTCCCCATTGGAAGAAACCTTTGGCAGAACCAGGCTCAACATGGCGGTCTTCTGCTGGGCTGGTTGAAATGAGACGAAGAAAGAATGCAGTAAGATTCCATGAGGAATGACACTTATCTGGTTATCTGGATCAAATCAGACACAGCGCAACCACTACCTGCACAGGTAGCAGACGAGTTGTGGATCGGAGACCTTTTAATATGAACTTCGGGTGCTGATTGGCTTTCGTGGAGGCATGGTTTAAAGCTGATTGGCTGTCTTGTAGGCGGATGAAGGCGACTGATCAGTTTATTCAGTTGAGCTTCCGCCTAGGCTCCATAATAACTACTGATGCGGTATGTCCCTACCAGCTATGCTCATTTAAAGGCTGACTTTTATGCCTATTCTTTTACATAATAATTAAAACTCAACATGGATTAAAAAAGTTTTGCTGCAAAATTCATAAATGGATTTCTATGTACACATACACTTGGCCATTCTAATGAATATATGATTTGCTAAAAATAGTCCAACTGTTGCTCTGGTTCTACTCGAGGTTTTTGTCTGTCTGCTTTTCTAGCTTAAGCTCCATCCATCTTTCCATCAGCTTATAAAACATTCCCAAAGCATGATGCTGCCACCACCGTGAGACATCTGTAGTGTTCAGGCTGATGTATGATGGCAGTGCAACTTCCATTTGGGTTCATCTGAGCAAGGAACTTCTTACCACACCTTTCATTTCCCCGAGCTACATGGTTTGTAAAGTTTAAGAGGATAATTTGTGAAGTTCACCTCAAAAGTTGTCATCTTTAGAGATTCTTAGTTTTCTACAGTTCCTTTAAAAGTTCCCATCATCCTATTTGTTGCCATTCTGTTTCATGTTCTCCTTGTTCATTCTAGCTGTTCAGGTGAAGATCTATGTGTTGCTAGCTTTGCAGTTGTGCCATACTGTTTCCATTTGAAGATTAATCAGAGCTCTTTGAGAGGTTCATAGCTTGGGATCCTGCATTATATCAAACCCCTACTTTACACATCTCTTCATCTTTATCTCATCACATCTTTTATGTGTTCTTTGGGCTTCATGTTGCTGTTTGTTCACTGGTGCTCTCCAATAAATCCCTGAAGACTCTGCAGACTGAGAGGAGCCAACCAGGTGGTCTCTATGGTGATTAAGGCAGTTTGTGGCGCTGAACTCGACTGATGGGAATCACTTTTTACCTCTTCTTCCAGGCTTTCATTTCCACTCTACACTGAGCTAGTCTATCACAAAAATTCTAATAAAATAAATGAAAACTGCTGGACCTTTGGTTCTAAAGGTTGGTTCACATGGCAAGATTTTAAAATTGTTGGGTAATTTACAAACACTCCTTAACTCGGAAACTTGTGAGCTCTGAATAAAGATTTAGCATCTAGCAATGTGTGTACAGACGGTCTCTTTGTAAAATAGTAGATGCACTTGAGAAAGTGGCTTAGTTTCATTTGCTTTGAGGAAAAATAAAAACAGTTTTATGTTGTTTTTAAGAAGGAAAGATACTTAAATCATAGGGTACACCTCACATAAAAGGATTTGGGGAAAAGATAAAATTGAAAAAACTGGATTTCCTGATTTGCGATTACAGTGGTCGTGACGTTCTTCTTTGCTGCAACAACAGGAGTAAAATATACACTATGTAGAGTTCTAATTTAACTCTAAATCCGAGTGGGACCAAATGCACTCTTAAAATGTTACTTTAACACTGCAAAATTGACTGTGTAGCACGGTTATCTCCCTGATAATCAAGAGAGGGAAGATCGTGGCAGAAATGGAACCTGAGCACACACCTTAAGGGTTGATAAATACTTTCGATCTTCTCTATTTTAAAGCCGATCCCTAACTTCCAAAATATCTCACATTACTTGAAATAGTCCAACGGGGAAGAGGAGCTCTTTTTGATGCCCCGGTTTGATAGGACTTTGACTGGGGGACATTAGCAGAGCTTTCCCAGTGGCCTCTCGAACAGGCTCCACAGGTGGCCCTGATATCCTCTCTGCTGACATTTTTCGAAGCAGCTTTTCTTTAACTTCCTTTACAGTTTAAAAGCTAGATTTGAGTGCACTACATTTTATGGACTATACTGCACGGTTAGGCTGATATAAGCATTGCTTTAGCACTTTCCTTTTCACGAGGAAACAGTTTCAGCTTTTCCTTTGGTTATTGATAATAAAATAGGTTAGGAGGATAACTGTAGCATTACATTTTTATCTTACTCTCTGCTTTCAAAAAGACACAAATACCCTCAACCTAATCTTTACCATTATACAAATGAACGTAAAGAGCCAATTCTCATATTTGCCTTCCTGCTTTCCCTCAGTGAATGAGATAAATAGGCACAATATCCTCCTGCTTATCTGTGAGGCTTTACACAGCTGTTAATGTTGGGTTTGTGTCAGCCAAACACAGATATCGATGTTTGTCAACAGTGAAAGGAGCTAAAGCTCAGCTCTGTTAAGTTAAAGTTGCTGCTCTCTCTGCTGATGCTCTGCGTGCATCATGTTGTTTAAACGGCTTGTTGGTATGTTAGTGGGTGTCCGAGGAGCAGCAGGTGCCCATCGCCTGGTCTGCTGCACAGCTTTGCACCAATGAAGATGAGTCAAAGCTGCTGAAGTGTGCACAAAAGAAATTTCACACATGGGGAAAATCAGGCAGCTCGTGCCAAGATCTTCACCTTCAGAAAGGTAATTCTTTCCATCCTGGGGAGCAAGTTTTTATACTTCCTTCTTAAGGAGTAATGAGTTTTTGCTTTACAGTGGATTAGCTTTGGGCTATCATCTAAATTCTTTCTCTCTGTGCACGGCGAGGAGAAACTCACACTCCATCTGCTCCAATTTAGACCTGCGCTTTTTTTTTTTTCTGTCTTTCTTATTCAGTGATGAGAAAGGTCGCCTCAACATGGATCAAAGAAGCAGTCATCTGTGGCCGTGACCCCTTCAATTTTCTAGATCCGGTGTTTTTTGGACTATTCATGCTATGAAACCATTAAAAATGTTAGTGGCTTTGGAGTAAATTATGTTGTTACCGAGGATTTTTTTTTGTTTTTTCATTTCTTTTTGGTACTGCTAGACAGTTGAAATGTATTCTTCCATTGCAGTACAGTCCCAGGCTCAAAATTAGCATAACATTATGACCCCCCGTCATACATTAAGCCTACATGATCTGTTTCTTTTTCTGTGATTTATACAGATACGCATGCACATTCTTCCTTTGGCTTCATATGGGAACATGTGCAGTGCTTTGATAGAGAAACACCCCATACTGTTATCCCAGGTGTTTGCATCAAATATTTCAAGTTGTTTGCCTGGAGCAGTATAAGGGGATAGTATGATGCAATGGAATGAACTTTTGTTCTAGGTAACCTTCTGGTGACTCAAAAGACAATAATATTAGCCTGCATTTCTTATGGGGAGTGGCAGCCTATTGGTTAGGGAATAGAGCTTGGAATCCTGAGGTTGTGAGTTTGAAACTCACTCCCACAGACTACTACTCTGGCTCTCTGAGCAAGACCCTTAACACCAGATTGCTCCCTGGGTGCCCCACGATGGCAGTCCACTGTTCCCTAATGGGATGGGTTGAATGCAGAGGTGGATTTTTCCAATGTGAGATCAATAAAACGTAATTATTGATGAAAAAATAACCTCTGGATGGTTGCATCAAGGACTTACAGTCAGTATTCAGGATAGTCAACATTTAGTTTTTCTAAGTTAAAACTTTTCCTTTGATATCTGAAGGGCAGATTATACTTCAGCAACCTCATTAATCCAATGTTGCTTGGGTTTGGTCGCGAACCAGTTTT